CACTGCACAGCAGAGCTTCATGCAGCCTGCTCGCTCCCTCTCAGACAAAGGATAAAACTAAAGGCATAGCAATGGGTGGCAACAATGACCAAGGAATAGGACAGGCTTTGTAGAAGCAGAGAGTCCTGAGCTCGGGAGAGATGCCTGGACTAAAAAAAGATAATAAATTCATGAGTGTGCTGGAAGAGGAGGGTCAGGAGCAGTGACCAACTAGCTCCGTAACAACTGCATTGGTATGCTGACCTTGCATGAGGCAGTAAGTTTAAAGTAATCAGAAAGAAATAGGTAATTTCAAAACCTAATGATGAAATTTGTTTCTCCAAGGTGTATTGATTGCCAAAATGGACAGGTTAAAAAAAAAAAGTATATACAAAGCATCATAAGTTCTGTGTATATCTGTGTATACAAAGCATCATAGTTCTGTACTTGCACCTTTTGCTAAGCCTTAGTCAAAGACAGGTTACAGATGTAGAGGGACTTATGTTCTCACATAGCATGGTAGTTCTTATGTATTGATATCTCTGTGTGTGTCTATATATATACATGCATATATAGTGCCATATATTTTCTCTGTATGACAGATAGGGCAAATGCTCAGTGACAAACAAGGAAATCTCTTTGTTTGCTGGGTTTAGTGCTTAATGAAGTTTCACATGGGGTAAGACTGTGCAGGGCTGTACTGGCTTTTCCTGATGGACCTCGTGCAGTGCTGTGAAAAACAAAGGGCTTTACTGATGCGTTGGCTTCTTTCTTTCGAGCTGTGTCTCCAAGAGGTGCTCATTGGGAAACCCACAGATATGAGCCCTGATGCAAACTCATAGGAGTTGGTCTGGGTTGCAGCTCACATGGAATTACTAGTTGGGGTGAGAACCCATAGCAAAGCTTGATAATACGTTTGACTAGGAGCCCAAGTATGTCCCTGAAAAATACCTGCTTCATGATTCAAGGCTCTGCCAGGTGAGTAGATAGGGCCAACAAGCATGTAAAATCATGTATGAGCTCACGAGAAGGAGGAAAATCTAAATATTGTCACACACTTCAAAAGTGCAAGTGAGGAAGGGTATATGTGTGGCAGTAACTGATAGTGGAAATGGGGGACAAGGAAAAATTCTTCCCGAGAATGTAACTGGGGACAAACCCTTGCAAGAAGGTTGACCTTCACAGCTGAGGTGGAGCTGGGAGGGAGTGGACAGTAGTACTTACGACTTCTGGAGGACCTGCTTTCCACAATTGCCTCCTGGTTTTGCTGAATGCCTCGATAAATTCTTCAGGAGTTTTCTCATTTATCACAGATAAATCTCCAATACAGTTGCTGCTGAAACTGTTCTTGCTAGATGCTTTCTTTTACTTCTTGCCTAATCTCAGTTGTGTTACTTTACCCTCAACTTCAAGGGGGAAAGTAACTTTTACCCTGGTGGAATGTGCTGTTCTTAATCTCGTTCTTCATCTTTTCCACTGCTCCGTTGTTCTTCTGAGGTCTCTGCCCAGGCACCTGTCTGGCTTTTAGCAGACTCTCCGGTTTTCTCCTCAGTACCTCTCAGACATTAACAGGCAGAAGCTCAGTTACTAGCTCCACTCCAAACCTGCCTCCCCTTCAGAAACTGTTTTGACATGGTTAACACAGAGCTGTTAAACAGGCAAAGAGCACTGTTTTTTCCTCTCTTGTTCCCTATGCCATTGTTTCCCTGTTTGCTCAAGCCGTTATCAGACTTGGATTTTTAACTCCTTCTGTCTGGTTTCTCAGACTTTTCTGCAGAGCTGCTGATGTGCAGTTTTCTTTACTCATCCCCCACGGCTCTTGGTTTTGGCCAGGCGCTCATCTTGCCAAACTCTTTCAGTGGCTCTACTGGGTACCACCTTGTACACCCGATAACCATCTTGGACCTTTCTGCAGAGATGCTTTTCTGCCCGTGTGGTTCCACCAGCAGTTGTACCAGCTCTCTGAAGGGCTTTTGGTACGGTCCTGTGCTGGGTGCTTATACAGAAACCTGTCAGCTGTGGGATTGTGGGCAGGCTCCCTGCTGGAGTACTGATGGGAACAGGGAAGGGAGCAAATGGCTGGCCCTGATGGTGGAGGATGGCCCCTGGGGGTCCAAGCACAAGTCCCCATGGCAAGGGAGCAGTGTGACGGCTGAGTTTGTTATCCACTACCTGAATTTGAATTCACAGCCAACCGAAGAATTGCAACATCATTTAAGGCTTGCTATAGTGCTAAAATGACAATGATATTGAATGTAAATAAATGAATTGATGCATATGAAGGGACAGAAGGGAAGACTGGACTTCACTGAACTTCACTGGAAAGGATGGGCTGAGCTTAACAGTCCTCTTAAGTAGGAAGGCTTTGGAAAATGTGATGAATGTGACTCTTTGCTGGAGCTTGGCAATGGTCACTAAAGCAAGCTGAGCCCTAGGGGTTCTTAAGAAAAGGATTATGAACAAAAAAAAACATGATCTGTGGTTTGCTGCCTTTGGATGCCTTGTATATGCATACACACTTATATATATCTCGAGGATGCCAACTTACAGCCTACAACAGACCTGGAGGATCTCAGAGAAGGGGGAGGTGGGTGGAGGGGCTGGCTCCCGCCCGAGAAGCAGACAGCGGGCTGGGGCTCTTCAGCCTGGAACAGGGGGCTCCCACATGCCTCCTCCCTGGTTTGGTGAATCCCTAAATTCAGTAGGGTGACTGCCGATCCCTATCTCCTTGCAGTCACCGCAGTGGGGCAGGAGGCATGCAGCAAAGCATACAGCAGAGCTTTAGAGCCTTTTGCGCTGGGAGCAGGCACTGCAGCTGTACGCCCGCTTGGGGAGGCTGAGCAAACTTAGGGGGAGTTCACAGAGTTCACAGCTGGTTGCTGGGGCCCTGTCTGGCTTGGGCACCAAATGCTTATCCTGCCACGTGCAATGATATGTAGGTATACACACACACTCTCTCTGGCCTTGTTCCTCCCTGGTAACTTGCATTTGGTTGCTATTTTGGGATAAGTTTCTGGGTTAGATGAATATTAGTGGCCCATTACATCCTAATTCTATAGTTTGTTGCATTGAAGTGAGTTGTAGGGCTTGCTGCCTGCCTTTCACTGGCACTCTGAAGGGAGAATTTCCTTGCTGCAGACTTGATAGAAGCATTGCAGTGCAGTATGGTGGTTAAAGAGCCTCAAGTTAAATGTATGAGTGGTCTGGCTGGCCTGGCAAATAAAATAAAAAAATAAATAAAATTCCTCTCATCCCTGGCATTGGTTAAGCAGTTAAAACTCTTGCCAAAGACATTAAGAAATATCATTTGAAAGGTAACAGCGCTGTCTTACTTAACTGGGTTGTGCCTGGCTTGCACAGCAAGAGGAGTGTTAGAATGAATTTGGGTGAACGACAACTGCAGGCTGGTGAGGCCTGGGAAGACCAAGCCTGCTGAGACTGAAGGGCTTCTCAGTGTCATCATGGGAAGAATGTCAGCCCTTCTCCCTTGCAGCATGCCTCTAGAGTCGTTTCGAGTCAGCAGTGCTGTCTGTCCTGGGCATCGTGTCCCATCAGACTGGCTATTATTGTGAGAGTGGGATGGGTCTGTGTGCGTGGCAGAGCCCCATGGTGCCTGTACAGCAGTGAGCGTCATGATAACAACGTTCAGGCAGGAGTAGCATGTAAATAAGCAGAGAGCCTAGGGATCTTTCCTTGAGGAGGAACAGTCGGCGCTCTCTGAGGTGATGAAATAGCAAGCCATAAGCAAAGCTCACTTCAAAACTGTCAAGGACTGCAGCAGCTAAACATAGCCCCGGAGGCTTCACTTGCTCGGTGTCTGCCTGGCAGATGACTGCTCTGGCCTCGCTATAGAGTTACAAAGGTGAAATTCTTTGATCTGCATCATGCCACAGCTCAGTCTAGATGGTCTCCTCTGAACTCAAAACCTGCATGTCCCCAACAGTGGGTGCATAGTATATCCAGGTCAGTCTAGTCCGGCTGCTTACCCTTTCCAGTGCTGTCCAGAGAGGATCCTGCTTGTCAGCCTCTCATGCTGTGTGTCGGGAGCAGTGAGCTTCAGCAGAGGCAAATTATGGTCCTGGTATTTCCCCCTGAAGCCTGTGGCATGTGGGGGGAGGTGTACTGCAAAGGGTGACCCTTCTGCACCCTGTAATGGTAAAAGGAAATTGTAGAGTACAGTTGCTTCAGTCAGGATGGTTCCTGAACACATGATATTAAGGACACTTCTGTTTCTCAAACAGGGAGAAGCTTCAGAAACCTGATGTAAGAAATGGTTTGCTTACTCATGCTGCTTAGAGGTTAATTAAAGGTGCATTATTGTGACAGGCTTGTCTTTTGATGGCTGCATCATGAGTAATACATTAGATAGGTTTTATGAACATCAACTCTCTGAGGTGTCATTAATGTTGCTTTTTGAATGAGATTGAGCCCAAGGTCCTGATTGCTTAATGATTCAGTTGCGTATTACTGGAAGACTACATGATGTGATGGGTTACAGTGTCATCAGGAAATTATTCATATACAGTCTTGCTCCAGAGTGCTGGTCTAGATGCTTGTAAAAATTAGCAGAAGTGTAATGGACAGTTGTGTTCACTCTTTCTCCTGTCAAGGCTATCAAACATGTCTGGAATAGACTGCATTTCTGCATGTTTTTCTTTTTTAATATTGACATAAACATGAAGTAATCACTTCTAAATCTCTCTTAAAAACAATTTAATCATGAGTGGAAGCAGAGGATTTTGCTTTGCAGTTGCAAGTGTTAAATGTCCTAGGCTGATGCATGACTGGAAAGCAGCAAGTCACTCTGATGCTGAACTCATGTCACTTAAAAAAAAAAAAAATCACTTCAACTCAGTCTCTGCCCCTGTGATAAGGTTAAAAATAAACTCACTGCTTGATCAAGTATTTTGAGGTCTGTCTTACACTTAATGTAGAGCCTCCTGGAGAGCAGTCTGAAGGGGGAATTATATAGTCATGGATGAAGCAGACAAAAGCAAACCAGTTCTTCTGTTTGTTTTCCTTCTTCTGCAGGACATATTGTGCATCCCACATGAACTACGAAAATCCTCCACCTTACCCTGGCCCGGGCCCGACTGCCCCTTACCCACCCTATGCACAGCAGCCGGGTGGTCCTCCTGGCCCGTACCCAGGCTATCCTCCTGGACCTACTGGGCCGTACCAGCCAGGCCAGCCAGGTTATCAAGGATATCCACAGTATGGATGGCAAAATGCACCTCCGCCTCCAGGACCAGTGTATGCAGATGGGCCTAAAAACACAGGTATGCCTAGCAGACATGGTACAATGTAATTGTGACCCTTTCTAGCTTGCAAATGTGTGAGTACATGTTGACCTTGAAGTAGTATAGTTATCAGTGTCTGACACTAGTGGGGCTGGGGGTGGGGTGGGGGTGGGGTGGAGACTTGTTTGAAGTAGCAATTCTGTTTATAGCCTGTTTTCCTGCTTTATTTTGCTGTTATGTCTCTATCAGTTCTCTGGCTGTTGGAAGATGCTGCTGAACATCCATAATGCTGATCCCTCAAGGCAATCCTTATGCTGAGGTTGTTATATGTGCTTTTTGCTGGCTTCAGATTTGCCACAACTGTCATTCTGTCTGTCTTTTGATTGATACATTTCAACCAAAGGCTGCATAGTTAAAGCTTGTAATATTCAAATGTACAGTTCTGACCGAATCAATGTGCATCAGTTTTCTTGAGCCTATCAATATCTGTCCAATTTATCTAATAGTGCCATTGGAATCATTCCTGGGCTTTTGTTTTTTTTTCTCAGCAGCTATTACTGTTCTGTGGAAAAACACAGATTTCTGGGGAAGGGAAGGAGGATGGTACAACTTATCTTGTCAGCTAGCTGGTCCACCTGTGTGCCATGTCCCCTCAATATGGTCTGTTGGTGTACTCTGGCACTCGTAGCTCTCATGGGGCTCACTGCAGTGCTTGGTGCAGGCTTGGATTGTCAGAGGAGGACCAAGAATATGATTAAGGGACCATAGAGTCTGTATATGAGGAGAAGCTAAGAGAGGTGGGACTGTTTGGCCTCAAGAAGAGAAGGCTCAGGGAGAGCCTATCCATGTGTATAAATACCTGATGGGAGGGAATGAAGAAGAGGGAGCTGGACTCTTCTCCATAGTGTCCAGTGACAGGACCAGAGACAATGAACACAAACTGAAACACAGGAGGTTCCTTCTGAACACAAGAAGACACTTGTCTAACTGTGAGAGTGATTACACACTGGCACAGGTTTCCCAGAGGGGTTGTGGAGTCTCCGTCTGTGAAGATACTCAAAAACTGACTGGATGATGATTCTGGGCAGCCTGCTCTAGCTGACTCTGCTTGAGCAGGGGGGTTGGACCAGATGATTTCCAGAGGTCCCTTCCAACCTCAACAGCTCTGGGATTCTGACAAGGCTCCGTGTGGTCCCTGCCTTTTCTCTATTGGAAAGAGAAATATTTAGCTTGGAGTTATTATGGTAACTTCTGTCTTGCTGGTAGGGGCACTTGCATAGAGACCAAGCTTATTCTTGTCAGTGTTTCATGGGCTTTGGTTGTAAAATCTTTGCTCATACATTTTGGGGTGTACTCACCCCCTCACCATCAGGACAGGGACTCATGCTGTCATGCTATCTCCAGTGCCTTCTTTCAAGCTTCTTCAGTGATAAAGATACTCATCCAGGCTGGGAAGCCAGCAACCATCATCACCTCTCTTCCTCTGTTGTGGTGAATATCACAAACAGACCTGAGCTGTCGAGAAGAGTCTTAAGTACCTATAGCTGTTCTGGCTACCTTGGGGTAGCAGAGGATGTGGCCAGAGCTGTCAAAGGGGCTGTTCTGTGGGAGGAGGTGTGGGGAGCACTTCTGCAGAGGCACTGTGCTTTAGGTGTATGTGCTTGGTGTGTCTGGCATGGTTATGGACAGACTAACCTGGGGTGGAAAGAAATGAGACTTAACATGTACGACAAATCAAAACCCAAGTCGGTGCTTTACAGCTATGCAAGGCACTAGCACTTCAGGTACTACTACTGCAAAGACTGGCTGATAAAGTGGGGATCGAAGCTGGCATCACTTGGAAAGTTGTCAAGACTCAGACAATTTCTCTGAGGCCCTTGCCATTATGCAAAGCTGTCTTTGGCCCTTGCACATTAAAGTCATTCTCCATGTGCTGTTGTTGCCATGGCTTGGGGCGACGTGCACTTGAGCTTGGGGCGACGTGCACTTGCACTTGGGCCCTGCTTGGGACTGAGGTCTATGTTTGCTGCATTTTGAGATAATTGCCTGCTCTGCCCCCTACCACTTCGTGTTACTCTGACTCAGCAGAGCACTGTGACAAAGGTCTTTTCAAAGCCGTCATTTTTTGGGAAGCTGGAACTTGAGAAGTTCCCAGCAAGAGTTTTTCACTACAGTAAATCCAAAGGAGACTTGACATAGATGGGTGAACTGCAGAGAGGATGTTTTCAAGAACTTTTTCTCCTAGTATTATTGGCTACAAATGGTAGACTGCTGGACCAGTGTATATAAAAGCATCCCTGGATTTATATATGATGTAAGATGTCAGGAATTATTCTAGTGTGGGTCTAGCCAGAGGACCCGAATATAAGCAGTGAACAATTGGTGTGAGTGAGTAAGAACCTGGATAAGTGCAAGTCATGAGTTCAATTTCCTCTGTAAAAGAGTGAAAACCTTGAGGGTCTTCCTTTGAGAAGGAGGGGGCAGCAGCATGGTGATACTTCCCACCATTGCCACCACATGGACTCGGAGTGTAATCAGGGTTTTCCTGGGAAATGCACATAGTTTTTGGGTGGCTAACAGGTATTTCTCAGTATTGGTATATTCTCAGGGATGGGGAGGAATCCTAGTCTCCCATGTAGAACATCTTTGGTTAGTGCAAGTGTCACTTTGCTGCTATAGCCACGAAAAGGGATAAGCTAGCAGAGCTGAAGGGAGAGTGGGTCTGCTGCTTTGGACAGTATGGCTTTGAGCCAGATCTGCTGCTTGGAGACTTAAAGGATCTCATATTAGACTGGATCAGGGGACTGATTACACTGAACATCCCCTGCTCAGATTAGGTCTCTGCTCTGTTTGCAACCAGCACAAAGGAGTAGGCTGGGAAATTGGAAAGGACAAGTGGCTAAGTGTTTGAGTGCGTGTTTTACTGAGAGACCAGGCGTAGGCTGCAGGAGGAATGGTTTTGTTGTTAAACCTAAGCTAACACAACTGCAGTTCTGCAGAAGCAGCACCCTAACCCACAAACCAAAGATCTTCTGGTAAGTCCTGTTATTGAACTACCTTCCTGTAGCCGTGTCTAGTCTCTGAACCCACCTTGGGAGCCTCCGATTTGCACTGCTTTTGCTGAAGTGGATGTAATATGCAAAAACACGTGTGTAAAATGAAGTCAGTCACTAAAATATTAGTGCTATATATCTGTTGGTGTGGCTGAAGCTCTAATTTTAAAAAATGACATCTAAATTTAATCAAGTCATTACAGTCTGCCTAGCTGGCCTGGCATGATTTAATGTGGCTTGTCAGCTCTTGTGGTATTTCCAAGCAGTTATCTGGGAAAAGCTACTGTGTGGCTGCTTTGCTTTCAGAGCGGATGTTTTACTCTCCTAGGTGACTTTGCTTAATCTAGTGAATTAAGCTACTCCAAGTAATGCAGTTGTATTTCTGAACAAACGTGTGTCCTCACTGAAAACCAGGAAGTTTGCTATATTTTAAATGTTATGCTTTAAGTTATTTTACTGTGTAGGCAAACTGCAAAGCGGGCTTTTATGTTGGGAATTGTAGCCAGGGTGTTAATGTGTAGAAGTAATTATGCATCATAGTTTGGTCTTGAGTGGGTCACACAGATGGAAATAATTACTCTTGAGTTTTCAAAATATGATGCTAAAATAGCATTTCATAGTGATGATGTTTTTTAATCTAACAATTTGTGGCCTGTCTGGAGTAGCAATGGACATAGCCTGTCCAATTGGCCCTAGAAGAAGAAAAAACCTCATGTGGCTCACTGTCTGGATTAAAAAGAAAGCTGCATCTGAGATGTAACAGGGAAACAGGGTACTGGTTTTGTCACCCATGCTGCAGAAGGGTTCGTGAACCACTGAGTCTTGTTCCAAAGGCTGCTGTTGACGCACTCTTTAGGCTGAGTAGCACTGGCATGAGTTACGCTGCCTGTGCATGGTGTGCATGCTGCAGCCATGCTTCTCCCCAGCCACAGCACCTCCTCTGTGTCCTCAGGAGACAGAAGCTGTAAGCTCAGACTGGAGAGTTTGGTCCCTCTTGTTGGGGTCATGCTTGGCAAGGGTAAGTAACGCTTAGGCTGGAAAAAGAAAGTTACTACTGTTGAGTGAGTGATGAGTCTGCTAGAAATAGGTGAGAGAGGGAGTATGTTGTCATGTTTTCAATATGACATTGAATAGGGAGACATATCGCTGCTACTGAAAACTTGGTGGAATGAATCTCATTACTGGAATGCCGCTATTGATGGCTACAGGCTGTTCAGAAGGGACAGGCGAGGAAGGAGGGGCAGAGGGGCGCTCTACATCAAGAGATGGATAGAGTGTGAAGAGCTGTCTCTGAAGAATAGCCATGAGCAGGTTGAAAGTTTATGAGTAAGAATCATAGACTGAGCCAACAAAGGGAACTTTGTGGTTGGGGTCTCCTACAGGCCACCTGATCAAGGGGAGCCTATTGACGAAGCCTTCTTACTCCAGCTACAGGAGGCATCATGCTTGCAGGCTCTTGTCCTGCTGGGGGACTTCAACCATCCTGACATTTGCTTGAAAAGTAGCACAGTGAGCTGCAAGCAATCCAGGAGACTCCTGGAGCACATGGAGGATAACATCTTAAGCCAGGTAATAGACAGCCCTCCCAGAGGGATGCGATACTGGACCTGATGGTCACCAGTGCAAGTGAGCTAATCATCAAGATTGGAGGCAGCCTGGGCTTCAGTGATCATACAGTGGTGGAGTTCTGAGTCCTGAGGGATATGGGTCAGGCGAAGAGTAAAGTCAGGACCCTGAATTTTAGGAAAGCAAGCACTTCAAGGAGTTAGTCAATGGGACCCCCTGGGAAACAGCCCTCAGGGACAAGGGAGCAGAACAGGGCTGGCAGATTTTTAAGGATGCTTTCCATAGAGCACAAGAGCTCTCAAAGCCCGAGTGTAAGAAATCAGGATAGGAAGGCAAGAGATGGGTATGGCTGAGTTGAGACCTGCTTGTCAAACTAAAGGGCAAAAAGGAAATGCACAGGCAGTGGAAGCAGGTACAGGT